CATTTACTTTTTACAAATATTGTTCTCCACATTGCTGCTTTTACTTTTACTTTCTTCAGTTTCTTCAAAAACTTATTCTATTTTTTATCTTCTTAAGCTAACTTTAGCTTTTAGCTAACGTATTTTTAGATTTACTTAATATTTAACCAAATTATTGCTACTATTAACTTCTACATACAATATGCATTTTTTATGTTTAGCTAAAGTTTGCAATGTGCTGTTTTTGCTTTTAGCTAGTGTTTTGCTTATTTTAATGCTGTTTTTAGCTATGCTGCTTTAGCTTTAGAGGCAAATGTTTGCTACTTTTAGCTTGTGTTCTGCTAATTTTATTCTGCTTTTAGTTATCTAACTGCTGCTTTAGCTTGTTTGCTACTTTCAGCTAGTGTTTTGCTAGTTTTATGATGCTTTGAGCTACATATCTGCTGCTTTAGTTTTAAACGTTTCCTATTTTTAGCTAGTGTTATACTAGCTTTATGCTGCTTTTAATTATCTAATTGCTGCTTTGGCTTCAAAGTGAACTTTTGCTACTTTTAGCTTTTTGGGTAGTGTTTTTCTATTTGGAAATTTTAAGTAGCATTTTGCTGTTGGCCTTTTTTTAACTACTTGTTTTTTTGTATTTTGGTATGATTTTGCTACTTTTGATTTTCAGTGTTTTGCTTCTTTTAGCAGTTAGCTTGTGTTCTGGTTTCTTAGCTTTAGCTGTTTTAGATTTTATTTCCTTTCCCAACTGTTGTTGCAGGAAATTAAATATTAATTTAAATGTTTTGTTCACCTTCTCTACTTTAGCTTCGTTGGTGTCGTCAGCGTCRGTCTTCTCTGAGATTCCCACGTAGACTTTAGGAACAACAGGACTTTGTCCCTGAACGTCCCGCCGACTCTTTCTTACGAACAAGTTTCTTCCGGCCGTTAACACCCAGCGGTCMGAGATGAGAGCCCCTCCGGCGTAGCCCCCGTCCAGCACACCATCAGACAGGTAGACCATGACCTGCCAGGGGACATGAGGAGCCAGGGTCCCCCCAACCATTCGCCTGGAACGCAGTGACACTAACCTGGAAGCTGGGGTTAAATATATATATATAAAATTAGTGTTTTTTTAATCTGATAACATTCTGTAAAGACCCAAAACATATTCCTGAAAACCTTTAGGCACACTCATTAACTTTTTATGTCTCTGTTCACTCAGGAAGCTTCAAAATTTCTGCATGAAGAGTCAACCCAATTCAAGATGGCCGCCCAGTAATGGCTAGAACTCAGTGAGTTTTACAGACATTTTGCTAAAATTTGATGAGACAATAGCTGAGCGTCATTAATAACACATCCTCTGAGTGTTACGTCTCAGAATACTGCACAAGATCTTTTATTTAAAGTATATTCATTAAAGCTTCAGACATAAGTCCATCACTGTTCTCCAAAAACAGTTTTTATTTCTCTACATAAACCAATAAAGTCTGTGATGCTTCTTTCCTTTGTGTTTCAGATAATCAAGTCTGCCTCTTCAAAGTGATTAAAACAAATTAAAACCAATGTATTTCCTTCATTTAAATTCCTGACAGGATTAACTCACTGCACACTCCATTATCTTTCTCAATTAATTTGTTCAACACAACAAATTTAGTTTAATAGGCATTTAAATATTTAATAAGTTTTATTAGTTTAATGTATTTTCAGACTGTGTGAATAAAAAATGTTTTATTCACTGTTTTACTCATTTTCAACCAGTGGGTTTAGTCACATTGTTTTCAGGTAAATGAGTGGCGTTTGACCTCATCTCCTGCAGGATTCATAAACCTGAAGAGTAGTTTAGGTGAAATGAAGCCTGTTAGTAAAAAAGAACAAATAAGAGAATCTGGCGATATATTATATACAAAATGCTGCGTTAAGGTTTCAATGTAAATGTGTACTTGGAGATCTTGTCGGATTTATCCTTTTAAATAATTCTTTAGAATTGCACCGTTAATTTAGCGGAGCACAGGACAGTCGGCAGGAACCATCATTTTGCTCCAGACTCAATTATCTCAACAGTTATTGGACAAATTACCATGAAATACAGTTAACACAGTCATATTGTTTTATGTACTTCACAGTAAATAAAGAAATACATTTTTCATCTGGCAGATACTCTAATTTTCATGTTCTCAAACTGAATATCTGATCGTTTCCTCATAGTGTTTTAAACATGGTTTAAATCCTTTTCATCAGTTCATTTCTTAGCTTTTTTAAACTTTTGCTTAATTGTTTCTTTGTTTCATATGTTGGAAAGTAT